GAGAAGAGAAGAGAAGAGAAAAGAAAAAAGAAAAGAAAAGAAAAGAAAAGAAAAGAAAAGAAAAGAAAAGAAAAGAAAAGAAAAGAAGGCTCCAGGAGTTGATGAAAAACCAATCAGCTTCAATAAAGGGATGCACTGGCTGGGATCATGAGATGTCAAGGGATTTTCAAGACAGTTATCCAGTCACTGACTGAGAGTCTTATCTGTGCTAATCTAAAGAAAGGTGATGTGATAGAATGCAAATTTCTCTATCACTAATATTATACAGAAACACAATTCGGTTGAGGATAATTGAAAATTTGGTTTCAGTAGTGTATTAATAAGCAACAATTCAGTGTTAATTCAGAAGAGCCTATGGAGTAAGGGATGCCATTGCTGATGTCAACGAATCTTGGCTAAAACAAAGAGCCCCAGCTCTATGTTCACCTTTATTTTACTGACCGCAAAGGCACATGACTGTATGCATCGTGACAACTCTGGATGGCACGGCAAGGAATGAGAATCCCAGAACCTGTGGAACCTGCTGGTAGCCAGATCGCAAACAGAACAAGGTGGAACCGCATGGTTTCAAGTCAGGAAACGTACGTGTGGGGGCTGTGACTTTCTACCACACTTATTTAAGCTGCATGAAGGAAAAATAATGTTTCAAACTGTAAAGACTCATCACGAACAAAATCCTTGACCACTTCAGTCCTTTATCTATTCCTGTTCCTTCACCCAGGTATAAGGATTTACACTCGGGGCAGTCTATCCCGAAGGCTGCAGGGGTTGATGTTGGTTGAGAGGTACCTCTAACACTGTCATCTGCACAGCACAGGCTGTTGATGACCCTTCCTCTGATCTTGGTGCTGCATTTTCCTGTAATCCAGCTTCACAGATTATTTCCTCAGCGTAGAAAGATCAAAGACTACAGCCTTCGGTGTGGATTACACTTCAACCTAAATTTAAAAACAAACGACAACCCACAAAAATTCTCATGACTAGATAAATAAATGGAGAAGAGATTGAAGATGTCAAGGACTTAATCATACTTGGATCTGCGATCAACAGTTATAGAAGAAGCAGGTAAGAAGCCCAAAGGAGGGAAAGAAGTGTGGCAGTACTACACCCACCTACACACAGCCAAGTTCACGGCTGCACTGCTCACAACAGTCATTAGACAGAAGCAACTCATGATGAGAAGCGAGCTTTCCTATGCACACCGTGTTTACCGCAGCATTATTCACAGCAGCTAAGAGAGGGCAGCGTGCCCGGTGCCCACGAACCATGGAGTGGACAGGGAACCATGGCACAATCATACAATGGAACACTACGCAGCACAGAAAATCATGGACTTGTCAGCCACTACGCAGTGGGGGTGAGTATGGCAGGCACTGTACCGAGTGCAGTACATCAGTCACAAAAGGATAAGTTCTGCATAAGCTCACTATTGCAACAGCAGTGTCAAGGTGGGGTGAGGTAAGAGCAGGAAAAGACTGTCTAGATAAGGGACACCGTACTGGAGTGGGTGACGGGAAAAACACGCTGGAAGAACGGACCAGCATTACAGGCTGGTCCAGGCATTGACGTGTGGACTCCCGCGCAGGATGGAGACAGCCTGACTTCGCTTCTACTCCCAACTGCCCGCAGCTTCTCCAGGGCTACGTTATGCAGGAGGCACAGCAGCGGGTGGGCGTGGGGGTGGCATCCACCCTGCGATGGCCTCTCTTCGCCCTGTAGCGTTTGCGACTAGGTGAAAGGGCCAACTACGGCACGCACGCGCGCGCACACACACACACACACACACACACACACACACACACGGAAGAATGAGGACATGTTTACAGACCACCACGTGTGGCTGTTGGAGTTAACGCCATCAAGCCATCGATGACTCAGCGGTCCTGTGAAGGACAGCACGGAGTCCCTGCCCCACCCCGCGCCGTCCACATCCCCTCTGACACCCTGGAGCGCACTGCTGCAGGCACCTCTCAGTCCTCCTGAGAGGGCCGTCCTTCACTTACCCTCTGCTCTTCCCAAAGACTGAGACAGTGAGCCCGAAGACAGTGAGGGGACGTGTCAGCAGCCCTGCCTCTAAGGGGCACCCTGGTGGGACTCCCCCAAGGACAGAACCCTCTGTTCTGCCGGCAGTCCACTCACAGTCCACTCACACAGCAGTCACTATAGATGGCTCTATAGACACGATGTGGAGTGAAGTGACGTGGGCCACAAAAGGGCAGGTACGGTTTGAGTCCACTCCTTCACTGAGCTCACTTCTCCTTGTGGTCCAAATCCACCGAGCCTCTGAGGGAGAAAGGTGGGCAGTCTCCTCCTGTGTGACTTACAGCCTCCTGAACACCCACTAGGACCGGTGAGGACTCCACAGCAGCGCGTGGGGCTGTTGGTGGGAAGTCTAAGAAGGCCTTGTGGTGTAGCTGACAGCACACTCCACTGTTAACCGAAAGACACTTTCCATTTTGGTCTCTTTGCTCCGCAGGTAACCGCGCACTGGCTGACAGGACGTGGGTCACTGTCAGTCCAGAGCTCAGGCTGCACAGAACAGGGCACAGCCTGGCCATCTTCGGAGGAGGCAATGGCCGCCCTGGGCTTCTCCAGACAGCAGAGCAGATGCAGGGAGCCCAGCCCTTCACAACCGTCTCTCCCACGGCCAGACACAGGGCAGCTGGCAACCTGCTGTTTTCCCTCTGAGCATCTCAGATTAGACCTTCAATGCAATTAAATTCCAGACTCTGAAACAACTTCCTGAATGGTCCCTAAAAAGAACCAGTTATGTAAGAAGCCCACATTTCTGTGGATAGCACACTTGCCGTGGAAGACAGATTTA